CATTTTTGCTTCCAGTGGTGGAATTGATGAAAAATGATGGAAAATGATAAAAAAATGATAAAAAAATGAAAAAAAAACTCGAGGAAAATTGCAATTTTCCAAAAAATGAAAAATTGCAATTTTCCTCGGTTTTTTTTCATTTTTTTTCATTTTTTTTATCATTTTTTTTTAATTTTTTTATCATTTTTCATCATTTTTGCTTCCAGTGGTGCAAAAATTTTCCGAAAAATAAAAAATTGCAATTTTCCTCGAGTTTTTTTCATTTTTTTATCATTTTTTTTATCATTTGTTTATCATTTTTGCTTCCAGTGGTGGAATTGATGAAAAATGATGAAAAATGATGGAAAATGATAAAAAAATGAAAAAAAACGAAAAAAAAACTCGAGGAAAATTGCAATTTTCCAAAAAATGAAAAATCACAATTTTCCCCGGTTTTTTTTTCATTTTTTTTTCATTTTTTCATTTTTTTCCATTTTTTTTCATTTTATTATCATTTATCATTTTTTTATCATTTTTCATCATTTTTGCTTCCAGTGGTGCAAAAATTTTCCGAAAAATAAAAAAATGCAATTTTCCTCGAGTTTTTTTCATTTTTTTTATCATTTTTTTATCATTTTTGCTTCCAGTGGTGGAATTGATGAAAAATGATGAAAAATGATGGAAAATGATAAAAAAAATGATAAAAAATGAAAAATAAAATGACAAAAACATGATTAAAAAATATTAAAAAAATGATAAAAAATGAAAAATAAAATGATAAAAAATGATAAAAAAATGATAAAAAAATGGAAAATAAAATGATAAAGAAAAAATGAATGAAAACATAAATGAAAAAAAAATGATAAATAAAATGATAACCAAAACGATAAAAAAATGAAAAAAAATATTTTAACAATTTCCAATGTGTAGCTGGCTCGGTTTTTCATAATCTTAAGTCTTAAGCCAAACACGGGCAACTCAATATATATTATATCATTAATTATATATATCATATTATATCATTAAATACAATATTGCAAATCTCTGGGACTTGACCAATTCTTTTTATTGCCATGTCAAGCTTTGGGAGTGCCCACTGCATGCCAACATATTTCAACCCCCCAAGGCCATCCAAGACCTGCTAAAATATGCCCGTGTGCCCAGTGTCAGCGGATACACCAAAAATATACAAGATGTTTAAGTTGTGCCATGTTGTGCCCCAATTTGCTTGGTTTAAGGTGTTTAAGACAGTTTAAGCGGAGACAAGAGAAGATAAGAGATGAAGAATGATGAAGACACTTTGTCCTCAAGACATCCCAAGACTTATCGAGCACATCGCAGCTGTGTACTCGAAATCGATCAGAACCGCCTTGTCAACTTGTCATCACACAGCTCACTGGGGAGGCACCTGGCATCCAGCTGATTCCTTTGATTGTTAGCTAGAGTGCAAAAGCATGAGCCTAAAGCCATAAACAAAAACATTCAAAAACATTTGAGGTACATCAAAAACCCATTCTTGGACCAGTGACGACCAATGCACCACATGAACTCAAACCAAATGACAGTACAGCAATCATCGGCAACGAAGAGCACGTTCTTTCAATTGCATCTTGCACTGGACGTGCCACACCGGTAAATCGCTTCATAAGTGAGATCGAACACGGTGTGATTGAAGTCTTGTCCATGGAAACAGCTGCCGCCGCCAGCAGACGGATCGTGGGCAGCATGTGGTTGAAACCTTTCAACTGCAATCAAAACATCCAGATAAATATAGACAAATTATCTGATATACAGATATATATACAGTATTATACAGTAGCATTGTATAATTCTTGGGTACGAGTAGAAGTCAGGATGAGTTGCGAAAGCCCTTCTGTCTATCAGAAACTCAGCATAAGTACAAATAACCAGTCACACATGCAATAGGATGCAATAGGTTGTAATTCATAGATTGATCAAAGGAAGTTTAGGGGGAGAAACTTCCGTGTTACGGACTTTTAGAATGTCAGGGAAAGAGTTAGTCAAAGAAAGAGTTCGCAAAGAAAGAGTTCGTCAGGGAAAGAGTTCGTCAAAGAAAGAGTTAGTCAAAGAAACAGTTAGTCAGGGAAAGAGTTAGTCAAAGAAAGAGTTAGTGAGGGAAAAAGTTAGCAAAGAAACAGTTAGTCAGGGAAAGAGTTAGTCAAAGAAACAGTTAGTCAGGGAAAGAGTTAGTCAAAGAAAGAGTTAGTGAGGGAAAGAGTTAGTCAAAGAAAGAGTTAGTGAGGGAAAGAGTTAGTCAAAGAAAGAGTTAGCAAAGAAACAGTTAGTCAGGGAAGGAGTTAGTCAAAGAAAGAGTTAGTGAGGGAAAGAGTTAGTCAAAGAAAGAGTTAGCAAAGAAACAGTTAGTCAGGGAAAGAGTTAGTCAAAGAAAGAGTTAGTCAGGGAAAGAGTTAGTCAAAGAAAGAGTTAGTGAGGGAAAGAGGTAGTCAAAGAAAGAGTTAGCAAAGAAACAGTTAGTCAGGGAAAGAGTTAGTCAAAGAAAGAGTTAGTGAGGGAAAGAGTTAGTCACAGAAAGAGTTAGCAAAGAAATTGTTCCCTCACTGTAAATGGGATTGCAAGTGGTGCTGGTGGAGGAGTGGCCGATGGAGTTTTGGAGGAAGTCTCGCACGAAATGCGTTTTTGAGAGATAGCAGATGCACGAAACCCTATGTTTTTCCATACAAAGTCCGTCCCCGAACCTCGATGATCTACCTCTGCGGTGCGACGGGTGCGAGACGGTCTCGTGTGTGGTCGGATCATTCTCGGATCATGGTCGGATCATGGTCGGATCGGTTCCGCATTGTAAATGGGGTTTCAAGTGTTTTTCGTGCATGTGCGGTCGACAGAATTCCATTGTGATTTGCAATTGTAGGATCGTTCCCGCAATGTAAATGGGATTGCAAGTGGTGCTGGTGGATGAGTCGCCGATGGAGTTTTGAAGGAAGTCTCGCACGAAATGCGTTTTTGAGAGATAGCAGATGCACGAAACCCTTTGTTTTTCCAGACAAAGTGCGTCCCCGAACGTCGATGATCTACCTCTGCGGTGCGACGGGTGCGAGACGGTCTCGTGTGTGGTCGGATCATTCTCGGATCATTCTCGGACCATGGTCG